GGACACGTGGGACAGCACAGCCCCCAGCTGGGGACACTCGGGGATACTTGGGGACCCCGGGAGGGGCCGGGGCAGGGGAGGGGATACTCGGGGACACTGAATTTCCTGTGCTTTGGGTTTTTAATGTTTTTATACTGGAAATGGACAATAAATGTACAGTAAATACACAATAAACGACAGCTGGCCCCTCCCGCTGGGGGGAACTGGGAGCGCTGGGGTGGGTGACTGGGGACACTGGGGGTACTGGGACAGTGGGAGATACCAGGAGGTAACTGGGAGGGCACTGGGGGACACCAGAGGGTAATAGGGAGAGCACTGGGGGGCACTGGGGAGACACTGGGAGGAACTGGGAGCGCTTGGAGCAGCACTTGGGGACACGTGGGGCCCTGGGGGGTGGCGGGTGCTCAGGGCTGGGTGTGGGGGGGCTGATAACCCTTATCAGGAGCCCCCAGATGGCACTGGGGGGGCCCGGTGGACACCTGGAGCCCTGTCACTGCCTGTGTCCCCACGTCACGGGGGACGGTGGCAGGGCCACCCCAAAACATCCAGGGACAGGGTGACGTTGGGTTTGCCGTCACCTGCGGGGGGGGTGACATCAGGTCCACGTCACCCATTTTGGGGGTGACATCAAGTCCTTGTCACCCACCGGGGGGGTCATCCCCACTCCTCCTCCGTGTCACTGCCCCCCTCCTCCTCCTCCTCCTCCTCCTCCTCCTCCTCCTCCTCTTCCTCCTGCTCCTCCTCGCCCCCCTCTCCCTCCCCGTGGGGGTCCAAGCGGAGCCTCCAGCGCCGGGGGGGCCCCCCGGGGCGGCTCAGCCGGACCCCCACGAGCCCCCCGGGCCGGGGGCTCAGGTGGCAGCGGGCGGGGAAGAACCTGCGCAGGGTGGGCAGCACGTGGGGGGCGGCGGGGGGCAGGCGCAGCGCCGCCACCACCTGGGAGGGGGGCCGGGGGTGGCCCCGGGGGCCGGGGGAGCGGGTGGTCTCCAGCAGCAGCGCGGCCAGGCGGGCGCAGCTCGCCAGGGACTCCCCCAGGTACCACTCGAGCCCGTCCAGCAGCAGCAGGTCGGGGGGGCGCAGGGACAGAGCCCCCAGTTCACGGAACAGGGCCCCCCCGGGAACGGGGGTAACGCAGCTCCAGGCGCTGGGGGGG